CATTTATAAGACATCAAATTTTCATGATGCATATCATGAAAGCTCCTGTAAGGTATGAGATTCAACAATGGAGCAAGATATTAGTAAATATGTATTTCTGAACTAAAACCAACCAAATAAAACAAGAGCAGATTGGGTAACTTGGAAAGCAGTTAGGTATGTAGAATTGAAATATGGTTCAATAATAAAATGTAAAACAGAAGCATGATCAGAACTGAAGTGTTCCAATTTAAAAGTAGTTGTCAATTACCTAGAAGACATTAGAATATCAGTTCCATGAGTGCAATATCAGTTCCTCAACTTTCAGCCCATCCCTGCTCCCTATCATCCCACCCACTGAAGTCAAACTACTGAGCTGAGCTCTAAGGCCCCTCTCCCCTCTGTCAGAACCCATCTGTCTTGCAGGATTTTTGCTCAAAATAAACTGAGTTCCTCTCCATCTATACCTCCCCCCCAGAAATGAGCTCATCAGCCGGGCCAGTGTGGCCCAGTGGTTGAGTGATGACCTAAGGCCCAGGAGGTCACAGTTCAATTCCCACTCAGGGCACACGCCAGGGTTGTAGGCTTGATCCCCAGTGTGGGGTGTGCAGGAGGCAGCCAATCAATGATTCTCTCATCATTGATGTTTCTCTCTCTCTCTCCCCCCCGTCCCTTCCTCTCTAAAATCAATACCAGTATTTTTTTAAAAAAAGAAATGAGCTCATCATATGCCCATTCTTTCCATAAACTGCCCACCCCTTCCAGAATCTCTCCCAGTCCAGAGCCATATCTCTGCAACCATAGCCTTGGGTTTTGAGAATCACTGTCCTGGGCTTGGATTCTCTCTACTTTTGGCGGGCTGTGGCAACTTATCTTAAAAGGTGCATATGAAAAGAAAAATAAGAAAATTACGTGAACAGTATGTTTTTAAAGGTCTAATACAATTTAAGGTGTCATATTAATATTTATTCTGATAAAACTTCTAGAAACTCACAGAACAGCAAACTTCCCCTCCTCAAAAGTTGCCTCCCAGATAACCCCGCCTCTCTCCTGCACTCTTTGACCAGCTTGGAGGAATTTGTTTGGTTTGGTGACATGGAAACCTCAGAATGTTTGGCATCAGCAGGAGCTGAGGTAGAATCCTTGGATCTGTCACTTATTAACTCTGTGTCCGTAAGCAGGTTCCTTTACTCTTCTGCTTCCTCGCCTGTAAAATGAGCACACAATTGCTTTATGTGGTTGTTTTGGTACTAAAACAAGAAAATACTTGCAAGGTCCTCAAAGCTCATGATGACCAGGTCTTCACTGGTGGAGACAGAAGCCATTGGTCATGAAGCACAGAGAACCAGAGTGCCTGGGACTCGTGACCTCCTTAACCGATGATGGACTGGCACGGGGCATGAATAGCTGGTGTCCTCTCTCCTATTGAGGACAAATCTGTGTGTGCCCTACACTATCTTCAGTGCTCTCCGTTGTGGGATGAAGTCGGTTATCCCCTGTGGCACCTCCCTTGATATGGCACCCTTGCTTGGCCTCTTTCCCTTCCTGTGTCTCTAATCCCCTTCCAGGGTTTCCTGGGAACAATTCCTGATGAAAAGCTTTTACAGAGTTCCTCATTCATGGTCTGCTTCGGAGAACCCAGCCAAACCTAAGAAAGGCTCGTGAGCCCGGCCGGCATCGCTCCGTGGCCGAGTGTTGACCTATGAACCAGGAGGTTATGGTTCGATTCCCGGTCGGGGCACATGCTCAGGTTGCGGGCTCAATCCCCAGTGTGGGGCGTGCAGGAGGCAGCCCACCAATGGTTCTCTCCCATCATTGATGTTTCTCTCACTCTCCCCCTCTCCCTTCCTTTCTGAAATCAATAAACATATATTTAAAAAAGAAAGCAATACTCCAGCTAGGAAGTTGCACCAAATCACTGTTGCTCAAAACTCGCCAGGCAGAACTAGTCACAGGATTCTCAAAACACACAGGCCAGAAAAGGCCATCAGACTTTTCACTGAAGTTCTTTAAGCAGTCACATGTACTGACTTTACGTGTTGCCTGTGGCTCTTCATGGGGATGAGTCATATACCATAAAACTGACCCACTTAGTTGTAAAACCATCACCACTACCTGATTCTACAACTTTTTCATCTCTCAATTTTTTAAAAAAAAAATGTATTTTATTGATTTTTTACAGAGAAGAAGGGAGAGGATTAGAGAGTTAGAAACATCGATGAGAGAGATCAACCAGCTGCCTCCTGCACGCCCCCCAGTGGGGATGTGCCCGCAACCAAGGTACATGCCCTTGACCGGAATCGAACGTGGGACCCTTGAGTCCGCAGGCCGACGCTCTATCCACTGAGCCAAACCGGTTCGGCTCATCTCTCAATTTTAACGTGAACCTAAAACTGCTCCTGAGGAACAGGGGGCGTGGGGGAAGGACAGAATTGTACATCTGAAACCCATATAATTTTATTAACCAGTCACCCCAGTGAGTTTAACTTAAAAACATCTGAGTGCTGGCCTGTGTGGTTCAGTTAGTTGGAACACTGTCCCATACACCAAAAGGTGGTGGGCCGATCCCCGATTGGGGCGTGTGCCAAACGCAAGCAACTAACAGATGTTTCTCTCTCACATTTGATGTTGCTCTCTTGAGAACGCTGAAATCCAGTGTCTACTGGTCATCACTAGTTTGCCAGACTCTTCATTCAATGGTCAAACTTAGGCCTGGCCGGGTGTGGCTCAGCAGTTGAGCATCGACCCAGAAACCAAGAAGTCACCAGTTCAATTCCCAGTCAGGGCACATGCCCAGGTTGCGGGCTCAATCCCCAATAGGGGGCGTGCAGGAGGCAGCCAAGCAATGATTTTCTCTTACCATTGATGTTTCTATCTCCCTCTCTGAAAGCAATGTATATGTATTTTTTAAAAGGCCAAACTTAGGCTGTGGGAATAGACACACATGACAGGTGAGCAAAGTAGGGGACAATTTAGCTCCAATGAAAAATGAAGTCCCAAAGTGAGATGCTAACACAGAGGGCACCAAAGAATAGTCCTCTTTATCTACCTGGCACCTCTGGTATGCCGCCAAAGTTATTTGGGCAAATTGCTCACTACCCACCGCGGCCAGAGCTGAGACCCAAAGTTGGTCCCCCACCCCAGGCAGAAGGGCTACACACAAACACACACACACAAGGCCAGCGTCCACTAGGGAGGTGGCATGTGGGTAAGAGGGGGTGGGTTGGATGGGAAGGACTGTGGTAACGGAGGCATCCCATTCTTGCCACTCTAAAGGGACATCTGCTACTCAGTTCCTTGGGAGAACGTAGGCCTGGGGCTGCCAGATCTGAAATTTCCCCCAAATTCCGTTAAGCCCAGGTTTTAAAATATCAAGGCTCTTGAACATTTCTTCTATTTTAAAATGCTGTAGGCACCTGTTCTGAAAACACTTCATGGACCTCATCTGGCCCAGCAGCCAGAGAGCAGCCTCTCGGCCCACCCTCCTCCCAGACTCCCTTCCACGCCAGGCGGCACACACACCCTTATTTACTCTCGATTAAAGGATCACACAGACACATTATTTCCATGGAAAAAAAAAACCCTCTTGTTTATTTGATTAAACAAAAATAAAATAAGCTGCATAGGAACAATTTTAAAGTCCAAAGAGACACCAACTTTGTTTTAAGGCTGCAGTAGCTGATACAGCATCTCCTTGCTACCTTCTCCAGCCTTCTCTGTGGACCACAGCGATACATTCAGAAGCCCGTTAGCCAACACAGGAGTTTTTGAACACTTATCCATTGGTTCTTCACCTGCTCATTGCCTGTCATGCCTGCGGCCTGCAGTACAACATTTAAGATTTAAAATAAAAATCCACAGGGGGGGGGAAAAACAAAACAAAACAAAAACACCCACCCCAAGCAAACACCCGCTTAAAGGTTGGAGGGAAAGCCTCTGTTCCCCCTTCTCCACGTGATTGGTGGGACCTGCACCACTGCTGCGATGCCCACTGAGCAGTGTCCAGAGGCAGACAGCACCCCAAGATGGGCTTGGCGATGGTTTCTGTGGCCCGGGCAGTTATGCTGGGGGTGCGTATTCCTTACCTACGCATGTCTGCCTTGGGGGGGGGGGGGGGGGAGCGGGAAAAAGTATATTTAGTCTAATATCAGGCAACATGCCCATGTTAATTTCTCCAATTCTGCATTTACCTTTTTCACAAAAGAAAGAAAAAAAAACCTCAAACTCAGCCGAGTCATAGGTTCTACACTTAAAGCATTTTGCTGATGGGGCATGACAGCTAATGGGCAGTATTAAACAAGATTCATTAAAAAAAAAAAAACAAAAAAACAAAAAAAACAACTAACAACCCTCCCACCCACCCTAGTATATCTAGCATGCTAGTTAAAAACAACAGCCCTGACCCCACCCACCCTTTCACCTGCATTGATTTTAGGGAAGAAAACAATAAAAATAAAAAAGAAAACTTACCACTCTAAAAACAAGAAAACCCCAGAAACATGAGAAACCTACACAGACTCCTAGAAACATAAAGAATTATTCCAGCGCTGGTTATTTATAGGAAGTAAACACTTTGCTACACACGTTAGCATTCAGTCAGTGTGCTCTGAGATAGAGCCTTAAGAAGAAATACTACCTGAGCTTGTAAGTTAATACAATCATTAAAAGGAGGTCTAAGACCATGTGGACACACGAAACTTTTAGAACCATTACTGGTTAAATGACGATGGAAAACATCCCACCAGGCTGGCTTGTTGACCCGTAAGATCAATTTTAAAAACAGACATCATCGAGGTATTTCTTCACCATGACACGTAAAACCCAATTCACAATCACTGCAGTGGTCTTAGGACCCTCTCCTCCAACCAAAACAAAACTCAGCGAGGGGAAGAAGAGGTGGAGAGGCAGTACAGTATATCGTGATAATGTGCTTCTCAATTTTATCAAGTATTTAATAAACAAGCAGAGGAAAAGAACAACCCGTCAACATGTTACCTTTGGTAGGAAAAAAAAAAAAAATTTTTTTTTTTTTTTTTAAAAACACAAAACAAAAGAGCAACACACACTTTACCAGTCACTGCTCAGTAAGACAGCGATTGCTGCCATGTCGCGGAGATGGACATCCAGTGGGGTCTAGGAGAGCAACAAATACAATCAAGAAGTCTAAAGATCCTCATTCCCTTCAAACAGCTGATGTTTCCAACAAGACCCTTAGAATTGCTCCTAAAGGGGTATACCTGCCGGCACTCAAAACAGATAAAATATTTTTTCTCTTGAAGAGAAAAAAAGAGACCTAAAGGTCTTTATTTGTAGTGAAGTCCTCAAATAGGTCAGATGCACCAGTAGTTCCATAATACTGAACAACATGGTAACAGTGTGCGTAATTCCTGGTTGCGGGGGGGCGAGGGAAAGGTTTGGGGAGTCACGTTGGTAAGGAACACTTGGATTTCCGACTATGTTTGCCTGAGTAGAAGGAATATTTGGTTTCAAGATTTCTTGTTCAAGGTCAGTCAAACGTTTCTCCCGGGAGAAACCAGCTCTGGATTCCTGAAAACATTTTCTTCTAGAGGTAGCTTCACGCCCACCCACTCCCCAGGGGTTTAATACTATTGATTCCGAGACCCGTCTGATGCTAACATGAGGTAGATGAACTTTTGCCAAAAGTGAGGTAGAAACCAAACGAAACAACTGGTGTGGAGTGGAGTGGGGTGAGTGGTGTGCGTGCCCTGTGCTCCTGGCCTGCAGGAAGCCAGAGGAGCTGCAGAGCCTCGAGAGCTCGTAGCTCTCTGGCATCATCATCATCGCACAAGTAGAAGAGTTCGACTTTGATACAGCCCCAGACTGTTGGAACCGCAAGAGTGATGTTTTCAATAAATACCCTAAATACTTTTTGGCACCATTGAATTTTTTTTTTTTCTTTCCCCAAACAGAAAAACAAGCCTATGAATAACTTTGGCATTTCTTTCACTATCTACCAGAACACAGCAATCTTTGAATCTCCCAGAGAGGAAGACGACACATAGACAGACAGTATGCTGCTGCTTCAAGCCTAAAAGACACCCCTCCTCAAACCATTAAGCTTTGGCTTAACTAGAAGTACACAGACCGAGCCAATCTCAAGCTCTTCTCTTACAGCTCCAACTCAAAGTGCCTTAAACCTGGCGAACTTTTTTGGCCCAATACATAATTTAGATTCTGTTTATGGTACCCTTGTGTTTCCCTAAATAAATTACACTTAAAAGGGCATCCATCAGTCAAGGAGTTAGTGCACCTGGGGCCATGCCCAGCGCCCTGGGCTCCAGCCACCTGCCAGCTGCAATACAGCACAGGCTGAGAGAGCATTGCCTCTCGAGAAGGAATGATTTTTTTTTTTTAAAGCAAAAGATGAACACTTTTGAAATGTGAAGTCAGTGACAAACCAAAAGTGGTTTTTATCTGTGCGTTAGATTTCCTTTAGCCATCTCAATACCCAAACCTATATTTTCGAATCCAATTGGCATTTCCGAACATAAGCAGGCCTTATATCTCACCACCCTGCCACCTGACCAGATTAGACATACATGGGGATTGTTGTCTGAACATCACATTTACTCAATAGAAACATTTTACTCTCCTCCCTTCCGGCACCTAGGACCTCTCACCATGTTAAAGACTTCCCTTTCTGACGCAATTCCTACCCACCCTAGCATCACCTCACATCGGGCAGGAGGTATGCACTTAAATACAACTAATTTTGAACAGCCTCCCTCACACTAGAGAGTTCCAAATATTGGCTTTTCTCCTCTTTCTTTGATTTGGAGCATTCCACATTGTCCAATAAACACATTCCAAAGTGCTTCGCACCAATCCCTGCGGATCAGGAGTCAACTGTGGGCGGCCACAGAGGCCAATGTTTTAAAAACAACATCTTCCCCAGTGTGACCATGTTTTGCAAAGGGCAGTGATGCACAATTGTGGGTAAGGAGAGAGAGAGAGAGAGACCCCCACTGAGGGTACAAAGAGGCAGCACCACCCACCTACCCACATTCCAGGGAGAACCTCCTAGAGCTTTAAGCCTGCAAATTGATCAGTCTATTAATTATAAGACCTGGTCATTTCAGCCATGTGTGGAAACGCTGGCTTTACAATCAAATCCATAGAAAAGTGATAAATAAGCAATTTTAGTTACTGCCATTCACCAAGAAAATGCCCCACTCAGATCCCAAGGTGTCCCCACATGTGGGAGACTGGGAGGAAAAGATGAGAGCGAAGGTGATGATGAAACTAAACACGGAATCATCAAAGGGAGTAACCACACTTGGTCCGTCATCCCAGCCATTATCATGACCTAGAGTTTTCTGAGAACATTAAAGAACTTTTCAAAATCCATTTCTTCAATTAAAAAAAAAAAATGTTTTTAAGCATTTAAAACAAGTTGTCTTTGGTGTTTAAAGGGTGATTTGTTGGGTAAGGTAGGGTGGGGCTGGGGGTGAGGAAAAGACCAGCACCAAGTTATTCCAAAATAAAAAATAAAAATGCTTACTTACATGAGCTCTTTACCAAAGACGTTAGGGACAAAATAAAAGGCAACTGAACAGAAACTGAGGCAGGATTCACTGTTCAATTCTTCAATAAAAGAAAAGGCATTTTTACAAAATGAGACTTCCTGTCACCTCCCACCCTGTAACACAGCAAACTGAGGCAGCAGGTTCAAGTTTTTTAAAATTTTTGGATACTTTACTGAAGCTCTTCCAGAAATGAGGTTCCCCCCATTTCGGTCATTTAGAAACCCTAGAACCAAAGCAATGGGAACCGGGAATTAAATGTCCAGTAAAGCAATTTGATTGATGTGTTAACACTGTCCCCGACATCTTTTCTTTGGGGATGACAAACTGTTTCATTTGTCAGTTTATTCTGTTCACTTAAAACGACATCCATATTGCAAAAGGGATTTCTTTTGAATTCAGGAACAGAAAGTGACCCGTTAGTCTGTTTAAACAAGAGCTCTTCCTGTAAGCCCCTGGCTTCCGAGAGAGCCTGTTTTCCTCCTGAGCTGTGCAAGTCTCGAATCTGGTTCTTATTTCCGTGTTTGCGGGGAATGCAGGGACCCGTGTGGGTTCTGCCAAGCAGGGTATCAGCCCCACCGGCTTCCCACTTAAAAAAGATAATGCCCGGAAGCACAAGGTTTTGTACCCAAGTCCAGGTTACTACGAACCAACCCTGTAAAGTGACCGACGCCGTCCCACGGTTCTGCAGGGGAGACTGGCTTCCATTTCCATTCTTTGGTACCGAGATAGAGGTTTCACAAAAGATAGTATGCCCTACATTTTGAGTTGGGGCAATTTAAGTTTGCAGATCCTTTACATTCAAAGGCCTTTGGGGGGCATGGGGCGGGGGGGTGGAGAGACGTTAACCTTGAGGTCCTACGGTAGGGCGCGGGGAGCAGACCGCTTTGTAAAAGAGACCCGAGCTGAGGGTGAAGGATGGGCTGTTCCTATGAATCTGACTTTCAAAACATTCTATTTCCCTGCACTTCCCAAGCAGGGGAAAAAATTGTGCTTTTAAACATAAAAGTTCATTCCCTTGCCTACTACTCTTCTCAGCAAAAGGCATGCATGCTTCCACGAACAGAACAACGTTCAACCTAGGATCGGGGATCAACCCCAACCCTCCTGCAGAGTCCGGAAGAGTTTGGGGGTAACTTGCTTCATTCTCATGCTCCCAGGCGACTACCTGGGGACACGCATGTGCACCCACCAGGCCCATGTCCAAAACCCTCTTTCTGAGATTGAGGTCCGCTCTCTTCTTCCGTTTGCTTAACTCTTTATAACCAACAGCAAACTAGGAATACGTAACTTTTGAGAATACTTTTAACAAAAACGCTGAACTACATTTATTACTTTTTAGAAACTAAAGTAGGAAGAGAAAGGTTCTTTGGGAGGTTGTGCATCACCTTCAGCTTCATTAACCTGATGTAAGACGGCCTCACACACACGCCCCTACCTTGAAAGAAACAAAGGTGACATAAGCTAAACGAGGAATATGAGTCGGCATTTCTCGGCTGGCAAGCCACAGCCCCATCTTCGAGGAACAAGAAAAGATGCTGAACAGGATGACAGACACACTGAGATATAAAAGGAGAACATTAAGAAAGTTCTCCATTGCAGCATTTAAAAAAAAATTTTCCCCCCAAAAAGATCAAGATCACACAACACAATCTAACCCCATAAACACAGTATTCTCAAGAACACAAATACTCTATAATTAAGCATTTAAAATCCTATTTTCCCACGTTTTATACTTTTTTGTGGGTTGTTTTTTTTTTTAACTTAGTAGTTTTTTCCGTGTTTCCTTGGCTCAATCTACAGAGTATCAGCCCACCACACACATCCAGTGCCCTGCCAGCCAGAGACAATAGGCTTGTGCATGTCACGTCCCACGGAGGGGAAGAGGGACACGTGACCTCCACTGAACTGAGGGCCGGCTGGAGAAGGAAATGTAAAGATTTATGAGGTAGATAGAAATTATCACTTCACAGGCTCAATCCCTGCAGAAAAGATAAGTACATTCATCTGTAAAAAAAATAAAGATGAGGTAGGACTTAGGCAACGTTGTACTTTTCTTGTTCTCTTTAAACAAAAGAAAAAAAGAAATTTCCCTGAGACTGTTTCTTCCTTGAAATTCAAAAGGAGGAGAGAGAGAGAGAGAGAGAGAGAAAGAGAGAGAGAGATGTACACCCCAAACACAAAAGCCTAGAAAATGTGATTAGAAGATGAGGATTCGATTGTTGCCAAAGTCAACCACGACGATCATCCCATCGGGGGTGACGGCGATGCCGGAAGGACGGTCCATCTGCCCAAAGCCACTGCCCTGAGCTCCAAACTTGCACAGGAAGCTGCCGTTGGACTCGAACATCTGTACCCGGTGGTTCCTGGAATCGGCCACAATGATGCGCCCCTCCTGATCCACGGCCACGCCCTGCGGGCGCAGGAACTGCCCGTTGCCGGTGCCCTCCGAGCCCAGGAAGCGTGCAGACTGGCAGTCGGGGTGAATCACCAGGAGCCGGTGGTTGTTGAAGTCGGTGACCACCAAGTGGCCCTCGTGGTTGAAGGCCACGCCCCGAGGGGAGTCAAAGTGCTTCCAGAGAGCCCCCTCGAAGCCATACTTATTCAGGAAGACGCCGTCGGGCCCAAACAACTGGATCCGGTGGTTCCGCGTGTCTGAGACCAGGATCTTGCCCTCAGAATTCACCGCCACATCCCAAGGGTAGTTGAACTGCCCGTTTTTGGTCCCTTTCTCGCCAAACTTGAGGAGGAACTGGCCCTCAAAGGTGAAGACCTGGATTCGATGATTGTCCTTGTCGGCCACCACGATCCTGCGGGAGGCGTCGCAGGCTACCCCGGCCGGTCGGTCGAACTGCCCGGGCCGGGAGCCCAGGGTGCCGAATTTGTGGTGGAAGGTGCCACAGGGCTTGAACACCTGGATGCGGTTGTTGCTGCGGTCGGCGACCACGATGTAGCCCTCCTTGTCCACACTCACGCCCCAAGGACGGCAGAGTTTGCCATCGCTGTCGCCCTCGCTGCCGAAACTCAGGCCCGGGATCCCAATGCCCACATAGCTGCGGCCCGACTTGACCACCACCTTGAAGGGGCTGTTCTCGATGTGCTGGTTGCACAGGGTGACCGACACCAGGTGCTCACCCTCCAGCTGGGGCCGGTAGCTCACCAGGTAAGTCCCGTTCTGCTGATCACTCACCTCGGCCCCAAACAGGTTGCCGTCAGGGCCCAGGACCACAGCTGACATCAGGTCGCCCCCCGAGAGACGAGGCTCTCCATCGTGGTCGTAGCCCATGACAGTGAAGGTGGCCACCTTACCCTGGAGGGCCCGCTTGAGGCCATCGCCCGTGGCCTTGGTGAGCGGCGCGAAAGCCCCGCTGCTGACGAAGCCGAAGGACTTGATGGCGAGGTACAGTGCCTGGTCGGGGGGCGTGAACATGACCCGGTCGTCTTCCTGGGGCTGCAGGAAGCTGCGCACCGTCTTCAGCTCCTGCACCTGGGCCAGCATGCGGTCTCGGGCCAGCAGGATGTCCAGCGCCCGGCCCTCCTCCAGGACCTGCTGAACGGCGCTGATGGTGCTCTCCAGCTTGTTGAGGTTCTGCCGCAGCTTTTCCACCTGCAGGTACAGAGACTTGGCCTTCACCTGGCGGATCTTCTCTACCTGGAGGGAAAGGTGAGGATAGGGAGAGAGGACACAGAGGCTTAGAGCCAAGCACAGAGGCTTACAGCCCATCACCTGACACTAGTCAGGAAGAACCCTCAGACAAATCCGTGCTGAGGAGATAATCCACAGAAACAACTGGTCTGCACTCCTCAAACTCAGCAAAATCCAATGGCAAAAAAAGGCTGTCGAACTGTTCCAGGTATAGCGGATGACTACACAGACATAAATAAATGCAATGAGTGATCCTGGATTGGGCGGGGCAGGTGTGAAAGGAACAAGGTGGGGAGAGCTGACTTGTGCTACTAAAAATACTATTTCTTTTTTTTTTTTTTTAATATATTTTTATTGATTTTTTACAGAGAGGAAGGGAGAGGGATAGAGAGTTAGAAACATCGATGAGAGAGAAACATTGATCAGCTGCCTCCTGCACACTCCCCACTGGGGATGTGGCTGCAACCAAGGTACATGCCCTTGACTGGAACCGAACCTAGGACCCTTCAGTCCGCAGGCCGATGCTCTATTTCTGAAATGTGACTACTGACTGACTGAGGAGTAGATACTAGCACAGAACTGGGATTAAACTTCCTGATTTTAATGAACTATGTGCTTAGCTAAGAGAATGTTCTTGATCAGAGGCAATAAACAGTTTAGAACTTGGGGAATAAAGGGACATCGTGTCTCCAACACCAACTTACTCTCAAGTCAGATCCATACATTTTATATATACTAGTAGAGAGAGTGATGAAAATAGGGCAAAATATAAATAACTGGTGAATCTGGATAAAGGATGTGTGGGGTTCTTTTATTATTAACCCCTGCAACTTTCTTGTAAGTTAGAAATTAAATAAAAATTAAAAAAAACAGCCCTCTAGCAAGTTGTTTATTGAGTATCTACATTGTGTCAGGCACTGGAGGTACAGTGGCCAAGGGAAAACATGGATGGTTCTTGCCCTCATAGGAGATTATACTTTTAAATGACATATACTCAAGCAAGCACACAGAGAAACAAGGTAAGGTAATTTCTGGTGATGATGGGTGTTAGAGAGTAGAAATGGGAGATACAAGACAGCGTCTAGGGAGGCTGGATTTAGACAGAGGGATGTCAGAGACCCTTCCTTTCACAAGCCAACAGCTAAAAAGAGTGATCCAGCCCTGACCGGTGTGGCTCAGTGGACAGAGCGTTGGCCTGTGGACTGAAGGGTCCCCGGTTTGATTCCAGTCAAGGGCATGTACCTTGGATGCAGGCGCATCCCCAGTGGGGAGTGTATAGGAGGCAGCTGATCGATGTTTCTAACTCTCTATCCCTCTCCCTTCCTCTCTGTAAAAAAATCAATAAAAAATATACTTTTTAAAAACACCACCATAAAATCATTTTTAAAAAAATACATGAGTAAAAAGAGTGATCCAAGCACAGGAAAGAATAGGCATGAAGACCCTGAGATGGGCACTTGCCTGGAATTTCAAAAAAACTAGCGAGTTTTACGCAGGGAGAGACATGAGTGGATGGATGGATGTTCTTATATAACCATAAGGAGCATGTATTGGAGAGGACAAGGGAGGAAGCAGAGACCAGCGAGCACCCCGGTGAGGGGGGATGGCATCTTAGGCCACAGTGGTGGCTATGAAGGTGGAGAGATAGAAAAGTGGCAGAAAGGATGCCAGAGGCAGAACCAGCAGGGCTTCCCAACAGCCGAGGCCAGCCTTCCACTCCCTGAAGACTGAACGGTCAGTGCTGCTCGGGAGAGCCTGCAAGGCCTTGAATAAAATGCCACCCCCACCCTCACCCACAAGAAAGATACCGAGAGAGTAAAGGGAGTTGGTGAGGACCTAATTCCACATTACGCCTCCTCTGGCCTCCTCTCCTCACCTCTAAGAACAGGTTATAGAAACCTTCAATAGGAAGCCCAAAAGGCCTTACCCACAAAAGGTGGAAAAAGGAGTCCCCTAAATCTAAAATGCTATAATAAACATGGATCCAGATCTGCCGCAGTAATTCCTGCCTCGAAGGTGGGATTTTTGTCTGACCAAGGAAAACACAGTCGTTTCTCCATTCTTTTGCATTAACGTACTAAAAGTCCTCTGATTCTAAGTGATTTCCCTCAGGAAGGGAGCACAAAGGTCACCCAGCTAGTTCACCCTGCTTTGCAGAGGACCGTGAATGCTGACTGCTCCGAAAGCTGCAGAAAGCCTTTTTCAGAAGGCGGGGAGGCCTGGATTTTCATCGGATTTTCCCTTGGGGAGTGATGAGGTGATTTCTGACCCACTCACATGCGTTTTCATCTGCTCACCCTGGAAGCAAGACACGAATGTGCAGAGAGGGCCTTGTGGGGACAGGTCAGAGAGGCTTTGTCCTTCGGTCTTGCACTGGACCAAGCCTCCAGGCTTTGGTTCTGACCCCTCAGCCAGGTGGTTGTCACTAACCCCAAGAGGAAGCCACACCCACTGGAAATTTATAAGCCACAAGAATGAAAGGTGGTACACCTGGCCTTCCAGTATCTCAATGTACAATAGGTGAGATGCAAAAAGGCAAAACCTTATCACAAAGAGGTGCGCAGGCAGAAAAATTCGTAATCAATAAAAGGGAGGGGGATTCCCACATGATGTGGGGCGGGGTACCATAGCGAAAAGTCGAGATAAAAGAGTGTGTCCAGAATGAACAAGCCTATTTTGGGAGGAATCTGAGAATGAGTGCTTGGGCAAGTAGAATAATAACGTTTATTGCCCAAAGAAATGGACTCTACCCACCGCCCCCCCCCCCCCGCCCCCAAATTTGCTTCTCTTAGCATCAAAACTTGCTTTCCATTCCTCCTGAAAGAAAACTGCCTTTGGAGTCAGCCTCACGGGAGGGAGGATGAGAAGGTAGGTGAGATCCGCAGAAACACACAAAGGCCTTTTCATCGGCAAATCCAGAAGAGCGAGTTTGTGGCAGAGTTCACCACAGAGCTCTCAGGTTGCAAGGAGTGGGCCCCCTTTCAGTTATAATGAACATTCGTGGGTGGCATGAGGCTGACAGGCCACGGGGGCATCTGAGTGTCTGATAACCATGTCAGGGCCACAAAGGTGCCTAAATAAAATATGTGCTGAATTAAATCTTGGGACTTTTTTCCTCCCAAGGAGTCTTCCTCTTCTTATCAAAAAAGCAACTGAGCCATATTCCTTGAGAGGTCGGACGAAGCAGAAAGCAGAGAATTAGGAGCTAACTAAATGGGAGAATGCAAGATCCGAGGTAGCCTTCCAGAGAACATTTTAGGGCGTCGTGATCCGTGAGGGCCACCTCCGGAAATAGAGGTACCACCCCGTTACCATCATATAGTTTGATGATCAAAACAAGCATGCTCACCCTTTATATGTGGTCTCACGTGTGCGCTCAGAGAATGTAATTACAGTGGAACTGGGCGTGTGGCACGGGCCCATTCACAAGCATATTCCTCTCTGCCCTCTGGGAGAGAGGGAAGGTCAGACAGGACAATGCTGGGATGGTGACTTGGGTAGGGAGAGCCATCTTTCCAGCTGATTTTTAAAACATGTATATTTGTATTGATTTCAGAGAGGAAGGGAGAGGGAAAGAGAGATAGAAACATCAATGATGAGAGAGAATCATTGATCGGCTGCCTCCTGCACGCCCCCTACCACAACCCAGGCATGTGCCCTTGACCGGAATGGGATCTGGGACCCTCCAGTCCGCAGGTCGACGCTCTATCCACTGAGCCAAACCAGCTAGGGCTCCAGCTGATTTTTTATCTAAACAGCACACCAGTGTGCTCAGCATGCTTTCCTGCTCCAACAGGAAGAAAGGGCACAACGCTCACTGCCCTGGCCAAGTGGAAAACTGGCTTTCCACAAGGGTTCAGGAAGTGCAACCAGCCAGGACACCGAAAATAAGGATGTTGCCTACCAGCCTGCTTTCCTAACAACGGCTTCAATTGTCCGTCCTTTCAGCTTCCTTCGGAGCGAGTGCCATAGAAAACTCGGGACTCCTTCCAGTCTTGGTACCCGACCACTTCTGAAAAGGCTTCTTGTTATTTTACTGCCTGGAGAGCACCCACAAGGTTCCAGGGACCCCTGAATTTTTCTGCCAATGGAACTCTGGTCAACTACCAAGTCATCTAAATTGAGAGCTGGGGCCCAGGATCTGACATGTGGTTCATGGAAGAAATGCTGGCCGGCCGAGGAGGCCCGGACTGGGGGTGGGGTGTGCACTCTCCCCATTACCTTCCACAGCAGCTCGCACTCCCGCTCCTCCAGGGCCTTCTTATGTCTTGCAGTCACGGCCTTGACCTCCGACTGTACCACCTTGGCCTTCATCTCCACCTGCTCCGCCACGGTCTGGGCCTGCTCGATACTCAGCTGGAAAACCAGAAACAATTTGCATGGCATCAGAAGGACCTTCACACGCTTTCAACAAAACGTTTAGGTCTGCCCCCACCCCCAACCCCCACCAGACCTGAAAAGCGAACACCCAGGGCCCCCCAGACCGCTTGCTCCACTTCCTTGGAAAGAAAGGCAGACACTTAGGGAGAGAATGGCATCTGTCTGACATGTAACTGAAGGAGTTGCTGGCAAGCGCTGGGTGTCTTTGTAGGGGAAATGGCACCTACCCGGTGAATGTCAGGACTATTAAGAGCTACTCTGACACAGTGAAACCAGTGTAGCTGGGTCGCAGCCGAAAACTGGGGATACGGATCAGATGTGAAAGGCACTACCCCGGGCACACGAACAACTTCCTTCCCACAGACTGTCTGGCCTTCTCACTGCCCACCTGGGGGAAACCCTGAGGGCTGGGCCCATCCCGCACGTGAGGGTTATACAACAGGCTGCAAGCCAGCGGCTATCCATCACCTTCCTGTCATGTCATTACCAGCCAGAACCAACCCACATGCATACTGGGAATATTGGCCACCTCAGAAACCGTGCCCTGTGGTTAGAGACCATCAACACCCCCCCCCCCACACACACACACCCTGTACCACCAGCTCTAGTAAATCAGCCAGTTTAATCAGACGTATTATTGTTCATAAAAAATTAATCCAGACAGAAGGCCTCGTGTTTTCATTAATATTACATGACACGTCTTCAAAAGGATTTCTCCGAGATACTGAGGTATTAAATCAGGGATCCTACTAGTACACTGACTGCTGATGGTGCAGTAGTCTCAGAGCTGGCGTCCCAAACCAGGAGGGGCCTGGAGAAGCATAAAGAGTTTGGAGCCTGGCCTGGGCTCAGGAATTGGTGACGGGTGACCAGCCATCCTTGTACCCCGGACAGAGGAGTATCCAGAATACGGAACGCATCAAAAACTGGGGCAGTCCTGGGCAAACCAGGCTGATGATCAACACAGGAGTCGGGTAACCGGGTTCAAATCCTGGCTCCACCGCCTACTGGTTGAAAGGCCTTGAGACGAGTTCCTGGCCCCCGACCCTGGTAAAGGAGGACTGTGAGAAAAAATGCACAGAATACATGGGGAAGAGCTGACCACAACAGCTGGCAAGCAAAGATTCTTCCCTAGAAGTTCCAGTAGGAGCATAGCGCATTCTTTTCTTTTCTTTTTTTTAAATATATTTTATTGATTTTTTACAGAGAGGAAGGGAGAGGGATAGAGAGCCAGAAACATCGATGAGAGAGAAACATCGATCAGCTGCCTCCTGCACACCCCGCACTGGGGATGTGCCCGCAACCAAGGTACATGCCCTTGACCGGAATCAAACCTGGGACCCTTGAGTCCGCAGGCCGACACTCCATCCACTGAGCCAAACCGGCCAGGGCTATATCGCATTCTTGTTGACACCCTTATTTTGGACTCCTAGCCTTCAGAGCTGCGAGATAACACATTCCTATTGTTTTAAGTCACCCAGGTGGTGGTAAGTTGTTGAAGGAGCCCCAGGAAACTAACAAGTAACCAACAAACGGAAGCAGATGAATTTGTCCAAATTTTCCCTTAAGGTCAAAAACCAGAATGACCAACAAAGCAAAAGTGTGCCTATAAACAGATATAATGGGGTTTGGTAGATTTCAAATGTCGCAGGCTGTCAAGTCAAGATTCATTCAGAAAAAGAGAAACCTCACTAGACATTGAAACAGAGACCATTTACAGAATCGGGCTAACTAGGAATTGGAGCAGGGCTAGGACAAAGGGCACGCTGAGGATGAGAGACAGTCAGTCACTGGGGGAAGTAGCCACTGACCCCTCGGGGGTTCCCAAGAATGACGAGAAGAAATTGGGGTTTTTCCCGTTCATTCTGGGAGTGGCAAAAGCAAGACATGGGAAGCAACTTCTGCAGCCAGGATGAAAAAATGCCCCTGATAACAACACGAAGTGAAGAGGAAGAAGCGAGTCCCTTCTTCCCACGTCCAGGTAGTGGCTGGAAGGGAGTGCTGCAGCCCCAGCATCCATGGTGAGAAAGGGTGGGAGAGGAGAACTCAGTGACGGATACACCCTGTTTTCAGGTGTGTTGGTTATTAATTAGCACAGACGTGTCCACACCCGACACAGCCAAGCCTGTGTCCGTAATATCTCTTTTTTTAAAAAATATGTTTTACTGCCGAAACCGGTTTGGCTCAGGGGATAGAGCGTCGGCCTGTGGACTGAGGGGTCCCGGGTTCGATTCCGGTCAAAGGCATGTACCTGGGTTGCGGGCACCTCCCCAGTGGGAGATGTGCAGGAGGCAGCTAATCGATGTTTCTAACTCTCTATCTCTCTCCCTTCCTCTCTGTAAAAAAATCAATAAAATATATTTTAAAAATAAAATAAAATATGTTTTACTGATTTTAGAGAGAGGAAGGAAGAGGGAGAGATAGAAACATCAATGATGAGAGAGAATTATTGATCGGTTGCCTCCTGCACACCCCCCACTGGGGATGGAGCCCAAAAACTGGGCATGTGCCCTGAAACAAGCACTGAGCCATGCTAGTTGGACCATAATATTTCTTTTTTATTGATTTCAGAGAGGAAGGGAGCAGGAGAGATAGAAACATCAATGATGAATAAGAAAAAAAGAAAGTAAAGAAAAAGAAAAGGAAACAATGATGAGAATCACTGATTAGCTGCCTCCTGCAGGACCCCTACTGGGGATTGAGCCCCCAACCCAGGCAACCGGGGCATGTGCCCTGGCCAGGAATCAAACCGTAACCTCCTGGTTCATAGGTCAATGCTCAACCACTGAGCCACACCAACTTAATGTTTCTTCAATGATCAGCAGAGGTGGTAAGCTGCTTTCTATTTTCACCAATGTCATTCATTGTATACCAAACTGATTTCTATAAAAAAAAAAAAATCACAAGATTTGAAAATAACAAGGCCAACACTCCTGTAGGGCAAGAACTGGCTGGGAAGGCAACGACCACCCCCTTTGCGTGGGGGTGGGGTGGGGCGCTTATCATGTGACTCTACTCTGCTCCCTCAGGCCCTGCCAGATCCCTGCAAGCCAAGCCCTTGGGTTTGGAACTCCCATTCTCTAGCAAGAACCATTTCTTCCACTTTTCAAGCAGGTGGAAGGGGAGAAAAGCTCTTACTACAATCTCAGTCATCCCCAGGCATGCACGGATAACATCAATCCTAGGGTTGAGAGTCATAAAGGCCGTGTTGCAGACAAAATGGGTCTTGGCTTTCTAAATCGTGCACAAACCAGTCGAGCACTGCATTCCAAGATGCGCAGCCAGGACCTGCTGAACTCGTTCCCATTATCGAGAAAGCAGGGCCTCTGGAGGAGACAAGAGGCAGGTGGGCTGGGGAAGATGACAGTGGGGAAGGGGCTGGGTCAACTTTGAAAACAGAAAGACACTTTGCAGTTAAAATTAAAACAAACAAAAAACAACCAACAAGCATGGGGCTTGAAGAAAAAAATGTTATCTTCTAAATGTGTACACAGAGCCAATCAAACATCTGAAACTGAGGGTCTCAATCTGGGCAGGCGAATCAGTCAGCTGACCACTCAGTACCGAGGAGTCTGAGGCCATGTGTGGGTTTCCTAGGGCGGAGTGCAGAAAGCGATTAGTGATGTCTGCCGTGGAGAACAGTGGTGGCCTGATGGCTGGTATTTAGAGTGCGCCGATAACCAGAAGAAGATACAAGTGCATAAACTCGCAGGCCACCATAGCCGATAATGAAAAATACTCTACTGTACTCATATGATTGTAATCACATTTAAGAGCTTTGAAACTATTCATCTTAAAATTGTCAGTGCATGGCTCAGTGGTTGGAGCGTCGGCCTGCAGACCAACGGGTCCAGGGTTTGATTCCTGGTCAAGGGCATATACCTGGGTTGCAGGTTTGTTTCCCCACCCTGTTCGGTGTACATGCAGTGCATGTAGGAATTAACCAGTGGATGTGTCTCTCTCACATTAACGTTTCTTCTCTCTCTTCCTCCCTCCCTCTTTCTCTTAAAAGAAAAACATTATGGAAAAAATATCCTTAAGTGAGCATTAACAAAAAAGTCAGCACAGTTTTTCCTTCATTAGTTATATATTAAATAAATGTGCATCTTACACCCAATGGCATCTTAACTGTGATAAAAGACATAAAACAATTAAAGAATCAAGGCTCTCTTATGTGGAGAGCAACCATATTCCTATCCTGCTTATAAATATCCCCAGGTAATCAGTGCACCTTATAAAACCCTCTAATTACACCGGTGACCAGAATGATGTATATTTTTCAGGAACAATCAAAATAATAGAAGGCTCTTCCCCGCCAGCGTGGCTCAGAGGTGGGCATCGACCTATGAACCAGAAGGTCACAGGTTCGATCCCGGTCAGAGCACATGCCCAGGTTGCAGTGTGGGACATGCAGGAGGCAGCCGATCGGTGACTCTCTCTCATCACTGATGTTTCTATCCCTCTCTCCCTCTCCCTTCCTTTCTGAAATCAATAAAAATAAAAAATTAAAAAAAATAATAGAAGGTTCTAAAAAGCAATAAAAATGATGAGGTAACACTACAAACATCTTCCATGCTTTCTTTGTTACGGGCAATTCTAGACTCTCGTCAGGGTAATTCTGTCTAGAATTAATCAAAGGATTTACTTCTGGGTGCTTTTTATAAATACAAAAGCTAAATTAACACTGGATTTAAAAAAAAACAAACAACCCACACTCAATGGGAGAGATGTCTTTTTTATGTATACTCTTCCCACCCAGGAATGATTTACTAAAAGCTTACACAGAAATTAATCTTGAAAAGAAGCTGATGAGGACAACAGGATGGGAGGAAAAGAAGGTGCTCAAGCCCTGGCCAGCTTGGCTCATTGAACAGAGCGTTGGCCTGTGGCCTCAAGGGTCCTGGGTTTGATTCCAGTCAAAGGCACATGCCCGGGTTGTGGGCTCGATTCCCAGTGGGGGGCGTGCGGGAGGCAGCTGATCAATGATTCTCTCTCATCATTGATGTTTCTATCTCTCTCTCCCCCTCCTTTCCTCTCTGAAATCAATATATATATTTAAAGAAGGTGCTCAAGACAAGATGAGGGAAGTTAATACACAAGCTGCTTACAGGGCATGACTGCTTATTTATTACTAGAGGCCCGGTGCATGACATTCGTGCACTGGAGGGGGGGCGGGGGTGTCCCTCAGCCCAGCCTGCACCCTTTTGCAGTGCGAGAGCTCTCAGGGGATGTCCGACTGACAGCTTAGGCCTGCTCCCCAGAGCCTAAGCCGCAGCTGGACATCCTTAGTGCTGCGGAGACAGGCTGCTGTGTTCGCCAGCAGTCAGCCGGGCTTGTGGCTGAGCAGCACTCCCCCTGTGGGAGCACACTGACCACGATGGGGCAGCTCCTGCATTGAGCATCTACCCCCTGGTGGTCCGTGCGCGTCATAGCGACCTGTCCTTCCACTGTTCGGTCATTTGCACATTACCCTTTTATTATATAGGACAGGAGAACAGCCAACATATATCTCAAGCCTTCTGGCCCCAACACAAACACATAAAAGAGGATCAGTGTGTGATTTGGGGTCCTGAAGTGACCTGAAAAAAAGGCAAAAAACACCCTACAGAGGGGAAATCAATAAGACAAATATCCTCTGGTTGAAGAAAGGGAACGGAGTTTCTGAAATGTTTTTCTAAACAAAAGCTGTTAAATGTAAATTAAAACAACCCCCCAAACTGTACTGAGCCCATACACATTGTAAAATATATTCCTGGGTTACTAATACTCATTTAAAGGTAGTGTAAACGCCCTAACCGATTTGGCTCAGTGGATAGAGCATTGGCCTACCGACTGAAGGGTCCTGGGTTTGATTCCGGACAAGGGCATGCACCTTGGTTGCGGGCACATCCCCAGTGGGGGATATGCAGGAGGCAGCTGATCAATGTCTCTCTCTCATCGATGTTTCTAACTCTCTATCCCTCTCCCTTCCTCTCTGTAAAAAATCAATAAAATATATTTAAAAAAATAAAGGTGGTATAAAGTTGATATGGACTTAAATCTACTACCTGTCTACCTGCAGATGTGGCTGCTTAGTATCCTTTACTTTGAGATGTTAAATGCTCATTCATTTGCTCCAAAGGGAACTCCCTATCATAGTGCCCCCAGCTACTGTGCCCAAGGAGGAATGAACGAAGACAGGCCAGTCAAGGGCCCTTCCCTGGGATTTTGTATATGGACTAGAGGCCCAGTGCACAAAATTTGTGCAAGGGGGGAGGCGGGGGGGCAGGAGGAGTTTTGTCCCTCAGCCCGGCCTGTACCCTATCACAGTCTGGAACCGCTCAGGCAATGTCCCAACTGTCCGATTGCCAGTTTAGGCCCAATCCCACAGGGATCCCTGCAGATAGGGCCTAAACTGGCAGTTGGACATCCCTCTCGCAATCCAGGACCACTGGCTCCTAACTGCTCGCCTATCTTCCTGATTGCCCCTAACTACTCTACATGCCTGCCTGATTGCCCCTAACCACTCGCTGGGGGGCGGGGCTGGCCGGGGCAAGGGGCCGTGGTCATTCTGGTCTTTGGTTTTTCTGCTGTTTCTGTCACTGGGCTTTTATTATATAGGATGCTCCAGCCTCCTCCACCGACCTGAAAAGGGAAGAGGAGGGGGGAAAAGGATACCCACTCTTTCTCTGAGGGTGGCTTGCTGAACGGTGCAGGCCCGAAGTGATCACCACTTAAGCCCACCTTTCTCTCTGCACTACATGGACAAGCCCAGATCCAGTAGCAAGAATGAGGTTACCATGGAGAGAGGGACGGAGCTAAATGATTGACAGTGCTGGCACCAAGGTCTGCGTCCCTGGATACCTGAAGCCTGATCCATCCATATTCTTCTACCTGGTCACCTGAGACTATTCATTCCCTTTTAGCCAATGGCAACCAAGAGTCCTAATAAAGACAGCATGGGAAATTTTTAAATTAGGTCATGGTGCATTCAAGTTCTTCAACCATGATTTTTCTTCATATCTGGGGGGGCGCGTGTGGTGGTGGTGGGTTACACATGCATAAGAAGGGGTTGGGGAGCTACAGAGAGGACACCTGCTCACAGGCTTCCCAAATGAGAAACTGTTAGGTTTGGATTCAAACTGCAATTCTATTCACCCTTAGTGTGCCTCTGGCAGGTTACTTGAGGTTAATTTCTCTGGAGCAAAGTGTTCTCTTTGCAAAATGGAAAGAATGACAGCCACACCATAAAAGCACTACTATGTATGCATAAAGTGCCTATTTCAGTGCCTGGAACAAAGCAGGAGCTCAGTAAACAGGTTTGGTAGTCCTCACTGAGGAAAAGGGAAGGCCGATTGGTTAAGATCTGGTTGCTTGGGCAAAGCAATTAATTTTGTTCCTCCATTTCCATTATTTGTAATAGAGGGGGGAAAAATGTTTCCTTGATCTACTTTTGGGGATAGTTTAAATTAGTTCACTAGAGAGAGTAGGCGTGCTCAGCATAATTGTGGCAGCTTTCCACCATGGCAAGCTGGAGCGTCCGCAGGGGACCTTCGCCTATTAGGATGATCAAAGAAATGATAAAAGACAAACAGGAGATAAGGGACAAAATTAATCCAAAAGTCTAGAGTAACACTGCATCTGTACAACCTAAAACAATTATGCTTAGACATTAAGCTCAGTTCTCATTGTTGTGCAAAATGGTGTAATATCTGTTACACTTGCTTTAACATGAAGAGTGACCATGTTTGTTTTTTTTAATGTATATTTATTTATTGATTGGTTTCAGAGAGGGAGAGAGAGAGATAGGAACATCAACGATGAGAGAATCATCGATTGGCTATCTCCTGCACACCCTCTTACTGGGGATTGAGCCTGCAACCCGGGAATGTGCCCTGAAGGGGAATCAAACGGGCAACCTTTTGGTGCACAAAGGCAAGGCATCCAACGGAGCCACACCAGCAAGGGTGACATCAATGGCTCTTTAAATTCCCCAGGTGACGGTGTCTTAGAAAGAAGCCTGCAGGGCAAGCACTGGGCAAGGTCCTAACTGTAGTGGCATAAAAAATGAAAACCACAAACCACTTCATTCACGGGGACACAGTCATTAAGATAGAATAGAAATAAAACAGAGCATGTACCAGCGAGGATGCTGACACGTGAGACGTAACAGCAACCACGGGACAGAGACACTCTGAAGGCATAATAAGAATACGACAGCCGAAACCGGTTTGGCTCAGTGGATAGAGCGTCGGCCTGCGGACTGAAAGGTCCCAGGTTCGATTCCGGTCAAGGGCATGTACCTTGGTTGCGGGCACATCCCCAGTAGGAGATGCGCAGGAGGCGGCTGATCGATGTTTCTCTCTCATCGATGTTTCTAACTCTCTATCTCTCTCCCTTCCTCTCTGTAAAAAAATCAATAAAATATATTTTTAAAAAAAAGAATACGACAGAGTAAATCATTCCAGAAACAGACTCTCAAACCTTCAATTTTAGGACGTGGATATCAGACAATGTGACTCATCAGAAAGATTACTTCAACATCATGCACAGGAAAGTGACAGCTGTGGAGAAATATATTAAAATCTAAACCATCCTTAAACTATCTTCCCTAGAGCACATGGTCAGTTCTTCAACCACTTTCCTAAAAGATACTTTTTTAAAAAATAGATTTTATTGCTTTTTTTACAGACAGGAAGGGAGAGGGATAGAGAGTTAGAAATATCAATGAGAGAAAAATATCGATCAGCTGCCTCCTGAACACCCCCTACTGGGGATGTGCCCACAACCCAGGTACATGCCCTTAACCGGAATCGAACCTGGGACCCTTCAGTCTATAGGCCAATGCTCTATCCACTGAGCCAAACCGATTAGGGCTAAAAGATGTTTTTTAACAATTCACTTATTCAAATACTCTAACTAACAATAGTTTCCTATTCTATTTCTGCTCAAGGATTAGCAGTGTCTATTTTCCAGCTTAGCCTACAAAACAAAGGCTAACACATCTCATGGTGTTTCTGTGTTCCTAAAACCTGGATCAGGCAAGGAGATTCAAAATCAATTCAGGCACACAATATTACCTGGCTGCGTGAGAGAACGGTGCTATGCCCCAAAGTTACATGTGTCCCCAACCCCAAAGAGATAGAAATTAAACAGAAACAAGAATCTAAATGACTTGATCACCCAGGGAAGAAGTTTTGAGACTCTGAACCTTATGGGAAAGTGCCCATATTCGCTTCTTTCTCACCTATAAATAAATAAATCTGAATAGCAAAGGTCTCTATCTGAAAAGCATCAAGCTCCCAGGCCTTCTGTGTAGTCCATCTGGAACTGGGGAGGGGCTGGATGGGAAACAGACAGATGAGGTGATAGGGGCCCAGGATAAGTATATGGAACAAGCCTAGACCAGCCATTAACTTTGGCCACATCCTAATCTGCACAAGACTTCAAGGTGGTCCCCACCCCTGTGCCCCAGCCCCAGGGATTATTGCTGCATGGATATCACATGAGCTCACTTGGGTCATTGTTCCACCAAGGCCCCCACACACTGGCGTCTGCCCAGTAATCTACACACGCCATCTAAAAGGTAGTGGGAAAGGTTTTATGCACAAGGAAGTAGGTGAAGGAAGGACTGACCTGGATCGCCTGGCGGCCCTGCTGGGCGTCAGCCAGCAGCTGGATGGTGAGTGCCCGGGAGTCCTGCAGTGCCTCCTGGAGGTAGATGAAGCTGTGGCCCCCGTGCCGGCCCATTGTACACTCACGACAGATGGGCACCGAGCAAGTGTCACAGTACAGGTGCAGCACCTGGAGACGAGAGAGGGGACAGGCATGAATGAGAGCCGCAGGCCTGGGGACAGAAAGGACAGCAACAGGGGCTCTGGCTCCCAGGCTCCCAGCCTCTCCCCTCCCAATAACCTAGCACACACCCTACAAGGGCAGGGAGAAGTGTAGTCAACTGTGAGCCCAACTTGTTCTTCTCCCCACCCAACCCGGTCAAAAGAAAGACAACCATCATTCCACTCCAGTTTCATTCAGAAACATAACTGAGACACTTCACAGGCAATAATATTTCCCTGTATCTTAGATTTAATTACCCAGAAATATTCGAAGACGATGTGTTCCTGACCCGAGATTGGTAGCCCAAAAGAAAGCACACACCAGAAATTTTCTCTCGCCACCCCTGCCGCTGGGCATGTGAAGCAAGGTTAGGCCACTATCCATCAGCCTCACACCACAGGTTGCTGGCCACCCTCCCCGTCACGGAGGTTAGCACAACATGCAGAACACGGCTCCCCAGGCACTCAAGCAAGCTAAGGGCTTAAGCTCCTGAAAGGAAGGCAAAAAGCTAGTGGGGTAAGGTCAGCCAGCTTCTTGTCTTTCTTCTTCCTGCCAAGTTGTCCCAAGGAGTTGACCCGGGGAGGCAGCCCATGCTGAGAGAGCCGATGTTCTGTATTTCCCTGGGGCCCAGCATGCTGGGAGGGAGGGAGAGGAAGGGCTGGCACCACCTCCACCTGCTGATAAATGAGGAGCTCTCAAGAGCGACAGCTCTTTGGCTCAGAAACTGGGCCAGTCTCGTATCCCTCCACAGAGCAGGGCACTTAGCACGGCTCTCTGTAAATGTTTGCTGGATTGCTTTCAAGAGCAGGGCTTAAATTTGCCTCTGGTTCACTTGGGTGTGAAGCAAAGCCAGCCAACACGCAACAGGAGGCAGGAGAGTGGTGTCCAAGGGGGTTCTCTCACATACACAGTGCACCATGCACTTCATCTCCAGGTGAAGACAAGAGGTTGTGAGGTGCTTAAGGCCACACAGCTAGCAAGGGCAGAGTAAGGAGGCCAACCTAAGGCTCTTTTTTTTTTTTTTTTAAATTGAATTCATTGCAGTGACACGGGTTACCAAAATGATACAGGTTTCAGGTGCACAACTGTACAACACGCCATCTGTACACTGTACTACTGTGTGTGACCGGAGACTTCTAAAGAGTTGCTTCCAACCTGGTGCCTGGTACTGGCCCCCTCATGCAGAGCCCACAGCACCTTGCTAGGTCTCCTGGAGGTAAAAGGGGTTCCAGAGCTCGTCCAGGCTGAGAAGCAGAGACAGGGAGACAGCGATAAGGAGGGAGAAAGGGTTAGTGGGAGCCCTGAGGCAAACAGTGAGAATGCTGTTCCTCTCCTTTTCCAGGTCCGTGTATTAACCCATCAGGTCTTGGCATGGAGCATACCCACTAGGAAAGGCTCTCCCAAGCGGCTCAGCCCAGTCAACAGGCCTGCTCCGCTCTGGGTTGGAGGCAAAGATTTAGGATCTTCCGTTCCTACTTTGAAGAAATGGCTCTGACGTGGCATGTTTTATGGAGTTTACATTACAGGAGGGAGAACGTGGTCAGGTTCATAGTCTTCGACCATTTTTGCCATCCAGCGAGATGCCGTTCAGGAGCCATGGTAGACTGAAAACCAAGTGTTGGCAATTGGCCTTCTTCGAGACCAATCACTCTCAAAAAAGGCAGGTCCACCATGTGGAGATGAACTCACCTTCTAATCTGGCAAACCCAAAATTCTCTATCTCACCTTAAATACTCACCACAAGATGCTACACTGGATGCATTTTGGGGAAATTCCCGGGGTCTTTTTTTTTTCTTCTTTTTAATGATGTGATGCTAAAGCAATTCACCCACAGGTTTCAGCCACTTTGCTCCCCCTTTGCTCCCTCCATTTGTCGTGGGAAGAAAGGAATCAACCCTATGCTAATGGCAAGTGTAAAAACCTCCCATCAGAAGGTTCCTTTTAAATTAGAATGAGGCATGCTGGCCAGCCTTCTGTCTCCTGCCCACAGTTAGCAATCTTCTCTACCTCTTCTCAGGACCAGCCTGTTGTCCGACAGCTGTGTGGACTGACCAGCTGTGTGGGAGACAGCTCATCTGTCTGCACAGGTAGTTAGTTGAGTGACAAAGAACCTTAGGCTGTTCACCTGAGCCTGGCACTACACCTGGTCATGGGACAAGCTAGCCAGTCTGACTAGGTACCTCAGGAGACCTCTTCTACCCAAGAACCCTGTCTCTAGGGTCTCAACCTCAGAAACCAAGAGGCTTGGAAATAATAATCTGGGCCAAAGCAAGAAGCCAGGCTCCAGGTGCCAGTTGTGCAACTGCCAGGAATTAAGGGGATTTTTCTGGGTTTTAGAGGTTTGTGAAAATTGGAACCTGGTGAATCCGACAAGTGAGAGGTGTTGAAGAATTCTGCAGGTGAAGTGGCCAGAAAAGAAATCCTGGTCAGAGGGTGGAAGGAGCGGGATGCCCGAAGGCCCTGGCACCAGGCCCCTCACATGTGCAGGCTGGAACCCCCAAGATGGACAAAGGGGGTCCCGGGTCCCTGGATGCAATCCCACCTGGCATCATTTCACATGAGATGGATGCAGCTCTAGGCCATGCTGAGACTGGGCGTGGGGAGCACCCAGCCAGTTGGTCATAAAAAGCTGTGGGTGAGTAGAACCATAGCCGCATGGTACTTGTAATTAATAAATCACTGACTTTAAAAACAACAACACATATTGTCCCAAATACTGAAAATGTGATCAATTATATAAATGCTCTAATAAAAAGTTGGGAGTAGAACTTTGGGGAAGATTTCGCACTCCGTTTAGAAGCTCTGCATCTCATCTGCTTGAAATTTCTAAGGTCGAAAACCCACCATTTCAGAGCCTGTGAAACACGATCCATAGGTAAGGATGTGTACATGGGTGCAATTCTCTGAATCAGCTGCAAGATATTTTAACAGAGCAAACTGGGAAACCCACGTCTTCCAAAGAAAGGGCTGTGTGGAGGGTCCAAGGCCAGATATGTAGCAGAGGCCATGAACTATGGCTCCAGGAAGGGGGTGGGGGGGGTGGGGAGGGGAGAGGAGCAGGCCTCTGGTGGGAGGAATTCCAGGGCCTGGGGCTGCCTGTTTGGGGCTTCCCGGGCAGATGCACAGACACGCCCCCACCCCCACCTCCTCCCGCCCCTGCATGGCGACAATCTGGCTGCCCCAGCTGAATGGAGCAGGCTCGACCTCTGACCTCGCAAGTGACCACCCTCTTCCCTGCCCCCAGCTTCCAGGAGGCCCCACCCACTGCCTTCCTCTCCCAAAATTTCTAAAATACCAGGCAGAGACAAAGACCTAGGAATGCGGGCCCTGCAGGAGAGGAAGGGGGAGGTTAAAGAAAAAATAAATAAATAAAAATACCAAGTAGGCAGGTTTACCTTAGCCAGAGCTTAAATAAAGTGCTTTGTTAACGAATAAGACTGTGTGTGTGTGTGCGCGCGCGTGCACTTTACACAACCTACTTTTTCCAATACCTGCGATCCAACAAGGAATTCGTCCACCCCGCACATCTGTAAGAACGAGCTTCTAGTTTCAAACACAACTGCCCCCATCAGTGAAGAATGCAAGCACAGCGGACGGAGGACGGGCCTCTCGTAGGCAAAATACCCCACAAATGAAACACAATCTATGGACCGCTGTTAAAGTTACCTTGGAGATTTTTTTTTCCCCCCTAACATCGCTTAAAATGACTGGGGACGACATCTGGCCTCCCACAAACTCCGGCTTAGACAGAAAGAGGTCCCCACCCACCCAAAAGGGCTTCTCCTTAAGTTTCCCACGATAGAAACGGAGTGAATGAAGAATGACTGGTGACAACCAGAAGCCTTATCAGTGTGTGCCACTGGGCAGGCTCTCCTCTTTAAAAGTGGGTAAGCCAAGTTCAAGGAGTGAAGTCCAGCCACAAAGCTAAGTAAGGAGTGAAGTCCAGCCACAAAGCGAAGTCTATTCAATAACATCAAAACCAAGCTTTACTTGATTTATGGAACGTACACTGAATACCGAGTCCAAACCCGAGGCAAGGGCTCCTCCTGTCTCCCTGGCCGCGTGCTGCTGCTGTGCCCCGCCCCCACCCCCAACCCCCCCCCCCAACCCCCAACCCGTGGAAAGAGGGGGAAAAAGAAATCTGGACCCTTTTTCCAGCACAATCACCACCAGCTCAAAATAGCAGAGCTGGGCTGAGGACAAATTATTTCTTGTGTGGGGAAGGGGAGTGTCTGAAAAACCTTAGATAGGGCACTCCCTGTGTTTTTAACACACAAAGACACATAAGTGCAAATAGTTTTAAATATCCCAATTTACATAACCATCCAAAATATGCTATATTCTACACATTCGTATTTTTATAAGACAGTCGACTTTTTTCTTTTTTCACTTAACCATATTAAACTTGGAGAGTGTCCTGGGTCAAGCTGCCTGCCTTAAGAATGGCTGCATGATATGTCATCTGTGAATGTAACCATACTTATTTAATTGCTCATTAGTACCTATGGACGGGAGCAAGTCCCAATTTTTTTATTTTATTTTTTTTAATCACAAGCAATGCTGCAGGGACTATCCCTGTTCTTTATACAACCCAAAATTTTCAACTTGGCAATATTTCCCATTGCTACGTCACTTGATGTATCGGGGGAAACATCTACTTGTCAAGTGTGGTTAGTAAGGATTCTTGAATTCAATAACTTCAAGTCAGCTCAACCTCCCTCCATGGAACACAGGTTAGCAAGTGCCTGTTCCTGTTCCCAACAAGACCCAAAAAGCCAGCAGGGGGACGCCAGGCGAGACGGCCAATGATGGGACTGGGGGGCGAAGGAACCGCTCAGAAGAGGAGCGGCAGAAAGGCAGGCCTGGTTTTGCATCCTCAGTCGTGGCTGCTGCAGCAACTAAGGAGACGACTGTCCCAAACCTGAAGACTGTAAGCTATTGGACAGCAAAACCTGAAAATGATTTTA